TGACTGACAGAAATTTGAAGGAAATTGACCTTGTCGATTTCGAGTGAACGTGTGTACAAAAAAGTGTACGGAAGAAATAAAAACTAGAATTTAAATCGTCACGAGGACGATTAAGGTGGTCTGTCTTCAAGTCTTATGATAGATTATAATATTTACTATATTGAGAAAGGGAGAAATTATATAGACATGTAAACAATAATGATCATGATGATGATCATGATGATCTTGATAGTAATAGTGATGACGATGATGATGATGATGATCATGATCATGATGATGTTGATGATTATCATCAACATACCATGATGACATCAGACTGAAAAAAATGAGAGAACATTTAGATAGTATAAAGTCTCAGCTACAACATACTCAAAAATCAACAAAAATCAAGCCAAAATAACGGCGATATTGCTCGCAAAAGACAAGAATGTAGAATCCAGATTTAAGAAAAAGTCATCTCCCATAAGGATTACACGCAAAAAGTAATGGATCAAGTGATAATAGGGTAATAATAAAGTAAATATGGTTATTTATTACATTATTTGCGATTGTACGTGTTTTAATGAGCAAAGGAGATGGTACAGTGAAAGGTCAAAAAGAAAAAAAAAGTGAAGAAAAAAAATTGTTGGAGACGCCCGGACTCGAACCAGGGGTCTCGAGGTCCGAAGTCAAGTGCGTTACTTATATATATCAAAACATTTCCCATAGCGATTAAACGTAAACGAGAAATGGAATTCTCAAATCCCACGTTGCAAGTGAAATATGAGCATGATCTCGGCATCTGATCGAAAAATAAAGGGCACACTTGTGATAGCTTATTGTCTCAGCTACAACATACTCAAAGCTCAGCGTAAACAAAGATAAAACGACGGAGATATTGCTCGCGAAAGACGAAAATGTAGAATCCAGTTTTGAGAAAAAGTCATGTCCCATAGAGAATACACGCAAAATGTGAAAAATTGACATGCCTCCTTTAATTGCAAAAATACGCCATGATGCCTTTGTCAAAATGAAATATTGTGTTGACTTCATTTGTAGAGAATATTCTAAGGTAGAACATATCAAAATTTTAAAGAAAATTGATCAACATTTGCAGAGATACAATCAATTTTCCAAAAATCTGCTGACGTCATAATATGAAAATTGAAATTTTGAGTTCGGAGGCCATTATGATGACGTCATGAGTTAATTGAGGGTCAAATGAAACATGAAATCATATCTCCGATTTATACTCTATCAAAATATGAAAAAAAACTTGGGGTCACCTTACATCCTAAAGCGCTACAATGGATTTTGTACAGGCATGTTTTTGCCCATGTATGCTATGTATTACAAAAGCTCGCGCGCACGGTAATTATCTTAAACGGACGCTCATTCCGTTATTAATGGGCAGAAAAAGTTGAACAAGGTATCAAAATGCTTGAAAAAATGTGCCAAATATGATGACAGAAAAAATTTGGCGATTCTATGTTGGAAGATGAAATTACGCGCGAAAACAAACGCGCATGTGCGTGCGCGCGTTTTTTTGCAAAATGCTTAAAATGGCCTGAAACGTATAGAAAACTAATTTGGAACGAATTTGAGCATTTAAAAATTTTAATGCGCGCGTACGTGCGCGTCGAGGTGCGCGCGCAAAATTTGATGAAATTTTTAGTTGACCTTTGACCTTAAGTTGATGTATACCAAATATGGTTGATTTTTGATGACTCGTTATTGAGATATGATAATGACCTGATTTTTACAAAATGGCGCCTGGATGACGTCACGATGACCTAATGACCTTGAAAAAGTTGATTTGACTTGAAATCATAGGGCTTGATGACTGACAGAAATTTGAAAGAAATTGACCATGTCGATTTCGAGTGAACGTGTGTACAAAAAAGTGTACGGAAGAAATAAAAATAAATAAAGAATAAAGAATAAATAAATAAATAAATAAAGAAAGAAAATTCTAGCGAAATCAATAGGTGATCTGTCGTTGACAGACCACCTAATAAATAAAGAATAAATAAAGAAAGAAAATTCTAGCGAAATCAATAGGTGATCTGTCGTTGACAGACCACCTAATAAATAAATAAAGAAAGAAAATTCTAACGAAATCAATAGGTGATCTGTCATCGACAGACCACCTAATAAAGAAAGAAAATTCTAGCGAAATCAATAGGTGATCTGTCGTTGACAGACCACCTAATAAAGAATAAAGAATAAAGAAAGAAAGAAAATTCTAACGAAATCAATAGGTGATCTGTCGTTGACAGACCACCTAATAAATAATAAAGAAATAAATAAAGGCGATTTTAACAAAAATATAAGGTGGTCTGTATTAGATACAGACCACCTGATTAATAAGATGTGCTCAGAAACAAAATAGCTGCCTCTGGCTAGCCCAAGCGTAAACCGAAGAAAAAGAATGAATAGCCTACTTGGCGAATTAAACAAATAAAGACTCGTATTTAATCCAGCGAAGAAAAGAAATACTACCGCAGACGATTAAATAGACCGAGAAAAATACAACGTCGCAAAAATCGTACGCGATATGTATGAAGTAAGGAAAATGACTAAAACCGTAGACACGTGTAGCTCTGACGAGTACAAACGGGATGAGTGCCGATAATCACGCTGCTTAGCCAAAAACACAAGACTATGGAACGCCGTGATTGGCGCTTAGAGAAAAACAAACCATGGAGACCACAAATGTCATATCGCAGGTGCGAGGTAATTTACAAGACAAAAAGGAAGTGCCGATATAAATGAAAAAAAGAAATGCCGATATCTTGCAATCTCCGAAAGTTTGTTGACCCACAACAAATGGGTGTATGGAGCACTACAAATGAAATTAGGATGTAAGATTTCCTTTAGGCATCCTCTGTAACTTTTTTAATCAGCTGATCGTGTATTTGTCTTTGTATGTATAAAGGGCCCTCATCCATGCCTCATCTATTTATTTCTGTTGTCATGCTCAAGTATAATATGTTTTCGTGTACGTAAAACTGTTTTGAAATAGATATTGCCTTCGAGTTATATGTACGGTGCCATGTCGAAAGAAAATAAATTGATTTTGTAAACAAAAAATCAAATACCAGAAACGGTTAAAATATTTAATTACATGAGAATTTAATTTTGAAGATATTAAAGTATCTTCCTTCCTCGCTCGCTGACAGTATTTTGACAGCAAGGCAAATAAGGGCAACGAGAGGCCCGAATATCCTCATATTCGTGTATCAAGGTCATGACCGAATATATCACTTTTTATTTATGTACATTCGGCGGGAAGGTGCCCGCATACAGTACTTTAAATAGTTTCTAGTTTGTGGATTACAAACTAATTTTTTACCAGTTTGAAAATGTCTTCAACTTTTTATTCTTAAATGTGCCTTTACGTGTGTGCATAGCACTTGACGAGAGCCAGAGTCATGCACAATTAATAGTCTGTAAAGACTTTGGGATTTGGGAGAAACTTATCATTTCTTAAGAGGGTACCGTGACTAACAAAAAGTTAAAATAACGCTGCTCTAAAGAAATGTATGTCTATGCATTTGAAAAGCGCTGGGCAATTACCTAAAACCTACATCCTTCGTGGTAATTAGCAACCGCACTGGCGTTGAATAAATTATAATAAAAGGGAAATGTGTAGTAATGAGAAACACAACGCTATAGTATTTGAAAGCATATGGGCTCATGCAGGGGATCTTATGGGCTCGTAGCCATCTCTTAATGTGTCAGATCGTCTTTTGCTATTGAATGCTGATTGTCCACGGGGGTAGTTGTCCTCGGGGGGTAATTGTCCTCGGAAGTGATAGTCATTCGGCGGGGGGAGGGGGTAGTTGTCTTCGGGGGGTAATTGTCCTATGGGGTAATTGTTCTTGGGGTAATTGTCCTAGGGGTAATTTTCCTCGGGGGGTAATTGTCCTTGGGGTAATTGTCCTAGGGGGTAATTGTCCTCTGGGTTAATTATCCTAGGGGGTAATTGTCCTCGGTTGGGTGATTCTTCGGGGGTTAATATTCCAGGGGGTAATTGTCCTTTAGTGGTAGTTTTCCGGGGGATAATTTTCCGGGGGTGATTGCCAAGAGGGTAATTGTCCTAGAACCGATAATCGCATATCGTGGAAATATTGTAAAAGCGTGTGTTTTTTTGTTATAGGGATGAGAAGACATGAGCCCCTGAACGCTGGCGTTCTGATAGGGGGGGGGGGGGGGTAGGTCATTTCTTATTCGATATCAATGATTTACAAATGCTGCTGAAACTGTGAAGGACATATTTTTCCGGGTAAGTCATTTCCTGTTAACTTTTCTTTGAATGGAATTTTATGTGTTTTAATTCAGGTTTTGTTTATAATTTTTATGTTCTTTGGGGTTAAAAATACAAACCATTTTTACTCCTTTACTGCTTTTCTTTTTTTTGGAGGGGGGGGGGGTCGTTTTTGGGGGGGGGGGGTAATAATGAATTTTGCCCCCCCCCCCTGCCACCCCACTCCCGGCGCCTATGTCCTACCCTTCCCCCGCCTCCTTATTATCATCATCATCATCCCCATCGTCACAATAATATATCATCATCATTATCACCACCACTATTATACCACCATTATCGTTTTCATCATCAACATCATCTTCATCATCATATCATCATCATCATTATCATCAGCATCATCATTATCATCATCATAATCTACATCAATATCTCCAATATAGAAACCGGTGATTTTCGCAAAGACGTGTAAAGAATATTTCGAAAATTCAAAAATTCGGAAAAGCAAATCTTATTTCATTTTTTTGAAAGTATAGACATTCGGAATAATGAACCCTATTTCACTTTTGGAATAAACGAAACTTCGGAATAACGCAACAAAATGTATAACATCCTATTTCATTTTTTCCGAATTATGACCCCCCCCCCCCCCCCCTGGTATAGAAATTTAAAATTCGGAATAACCATAATTATGATGATAAACCTACGGATTATCATGAGCATTTGGAAAATTGAACTTTCGGACAAATGAACGAACGAATGAATGAATTTATTACCATTTCTGAAAAGAATATATTTACAGGGTATAACCAAACTACATGTATATGGTAATGGGACACCACGAAATGGCTGAAATGGATAATGCCGGAAAATATGGTTCCTTGATCATGCTGATTATGATACGTCATAATACCATAATACTGGGATAATAATTAAATAATATTGACTGCCTTCAGGGCAATACGACATAATCGCCAGAACCGAAGGTGAGGGTGATATACAACTGTATGGATATGAGAAGCCGTATTGCCCTGAATTAAGCAATTAATAAATGTGCAATGAAAATTACAAATACTTTGAAGTTGGCTATGCATTATTGCCCGCTAGTTTAACACGCATTTTGCCGTTGACTTTTCTGATCGGGCAATAATATTTGTTCATTGGTTAACTGTGTATTATTATTCAATAATATTTCTTTCGCCCGTAGTTTTGTTGGCTTATCAATGAAAACTTGAAAATTGCCTTGCTCTGATGTTTAATAAGGTTAATAATATGATTTTTGTCAACACTAGTTAAAAAGAAAAGCACTGTATTTTATATCATAATAAATTAATATAGTAAACTGCTTTATGATTATATGCCTTGGAAATGGTTTATATTATGATGTATTTCAAAACTACTTAAAAAGCAAAGCACTATATTTTATCTCATAATAAATTAAGATAGCAAACTACTTTATGATTATACGACTTCGAAATGGTTAATAATATGATGCATTTCAACACTAGTTAAAAAGCAAAGCACTGTATTTTATCTCATAATAAATTAAGATAGCAAACAACTTTATGATTATACGCCTTGGAAATGGTTAATAATATGATGTATTTCAAAACTAGTTAAAAGGCAAAGCACTGTATTTTATCTCATAATAAATTAAGATAGCAAACTACTATGATTATACACCTTGGAAATGTGAAGAAAAAAAAAACGAGTGCTTCTCCATTGTTCTTGTTTTGTATTCTTTAGCTAATCTTTTCATATGTGACTAAAGAAATGAAATGAAATGACATAAAATCATTAAAATCTTGGTTGGAGTCGTTTGCCGACCAGCTCAAAACGGAATGAGATCAGTGTGGTCTTTGACGACCACCACGCCCACTGCGATATGATTGGTTTTCTTGGCTGTCGTTTGGGTTATCGGTGCCTTCATTATTATCATTCCTTCTGGGTTTCTAAATAAAAGTAATCATGACTTCATTACGATGAGGCTGAGGGTCCGTTGGTTTGTCATAAACTGTAAGAAAAATACAATAAATAAATAAGTACATCAAATTACTTGTACGTTTAATTTTTCTTAACTAAGGGTATACGTAGCCTCATCAGCTTCACGCTGTTCTTCCTGATGGCCCTTCAATTTGTTAATGTTGTTTGCTTGTTTGTTTGTTTTACCGGACTGCTAAAAAGTCATGTGTAAGTTTGAAGGAAGCAATGAGGGAACCGAATGCTTTAGGTCCTCTCCGAGGGACTTGTTATTGCCAGGTACACATTCACACTGAGGTGGAGAGTGGCAAATGTGGATTAGTGTCTGGCCAAAGGACGTTAGTGCCGGCACGCTGAGATTTGAACCCTCAACCCTTGGATATAAATTGAGTGAATGAACCACTATACCACGATACCCCCATGATGTGATAATGATGATGATGACAATTATAATAACAATAATAATTATAATCATAATCAATACTACTACTACTACTAAAATAAATAATAGTAATCATCATCACCATCACCATCTAAAATAATACACAATAAAGAAAATAATAATAGTATGGTTATCGGGAAAGTTTTCCTAAGTGGATGATTGCCACATGTACTACATAATTACTCACCTGCAACATCATAATAGCTTCCATAGTATAGAATGCCCTGCTCGTCGAGGTATTTACGAAGCTTTTCGTATTGCTCCTCCTCATTGTGATTGGGCCCAAGAAAGGTGATGCCGTAGATCTCAAAAGCATATGTGTGCATTAGCAAAATCCCAGAGTCCTTTAAAAAGAATGAAATCCACAATATCGATTAATTCGATTTGAAACATTTCCCGTTATTATCATGTTTTCAAACAGAAGTTGTAGCTTTTTTTCTGGGGGGGGGGGAGGGGGGGGTTTCAAATGTTCCCCCAATTGGTTCAGCCTTATTCAAGATTATTTAAGTAAAATTTGGGCCGTCAGTGCCTTTCAACAAGATGATAGTGAGAAAGAAAGAAATAACGAGTCCTTAGATCCTCAAAACTTTAGAAAGTAAGGATGACAGCAACTATAGCGGACCAGGCAGGTATGGCAGGCGGAACGTCCCATATTAATTACAGCTATAAAACTTTATATAACTCACTTAAGAAATCCAGCCGTCTGATTGGTCGGAATTGTAGACGTGATTTTAGCCATTCCCGTAAAGAAAAAGAAAAATGTCAATACCGGTTTAGTCCAAGATTGAGATCCCTCAAAACTCCGGTTACCATTAAAATAGCAAAATTTTGCTGCGATACCTATTAATTTACGTGCTAAAATGTTTCTTGTGCGAGCGCGGATACCATACAGTGCTTTTTGTCTGCGATTCCCAATGATTGAAATTTCAGTCATTTTTTAAGCAAAGATTACAGACAGTGTCTCAGATTTTCAGTGATGTTTTAACCAATCTCTACTCAATAAACGGATAAGGTAAGAATTTATGATAGATTTTTGTTTCAATTCGGCATATAAAAGACATATCGACTGCTTTGATATTCGAGGTCTGGCTGCTTTATATGCTGTCGGGAACTAGCACATCCTGCCATGATCCCTCGGTGGCCGGCGCAATTTTTGTGTACACGCTAGCCTCGCCAGTTTCGCAATAATACTCGTAAAAGTGCGCTGGTGGGAAAGCCTACACATAAATATAACATACTTTATAAATTTAGTCTTTATTTGTAGAGGACAAAGGTAGCCAGTCTAGCATTTTCTTATATTAGCAATGCCTTTACTCCTATGTGTAATTATAATTGAAGTAGTTATTAATTTAGGTATGTGCACACAACATGTTATGAGTTCAAAACTATCATTATGTCTCTCTATTTTTAGTCAAAATTGTTAAATTAATATCAATAATATTTTCATTAATTCATTAATTCATATAACAATTGACTGGTTCCAGTAACTTTCGTTTTCAATTGCTTCCATTTACAGGGGGTGGTTAATAATAACCCAAAGAGTAATGTTAAATCTCTGATTGTACAAAGACAACAAGCTTGGCATGAACATAACCAAGTCCTTTGGCGTCACTTAAAAAATAAGGTAATCTTTGCTATAAAAGCCGTAAAGTCTTACCCACCTACAATCGATGAGTTAATTAAAACCAATTGCACTTACTTCATATTTTGCGAAGATTGCAGAGTCATTTATTGCAAAATGGCTGTGGGAAGATATTTCAGCCAAATTGAACCAAATCAATTTGGAAATAGATAGAACATGGCTACATGTCACTATCTGATTGGACTATTACACGCCTTGTATATTAATGCTGAAAAACTTAAGTCACTGTCAACACTCATTCTGACTGATTTTTCAGCATTCGATCGGATTAACCATAATATCATCATTGCTAAATTATGTGAATAGATAATAGATTTTTTGAGTAGTCGTCAACAAACCGTTAAGTATAGAGGTCAGTTATCAGAATCAAAATACAATGGTTTAGGCGTGCCTTAAGGAAAAAACTTGGCCCAATTTTATTTTTGATAATGATAAATGATGCCTGCAGAGATACTTCGTTGTCATATTTATTATGTAGGTGATTTAACACTAGTAGAAAACCAACAAATACAATTTACGAAGCGTGAATAAGTATCAAGGATTTTCTTGTAAAACTAAGCGATTCCAGAACAGTGCTCTTCCCAATCTCACACGTATGTTAAACTTTTACTATGCAAATCCAAGCTTATAATTGGCTTAAGAACTGTGCAATAGTATGCTATTTTTAAAAGTATGGCAATATCTATCAGTCATTTTAAATTCAAATTTAAATGTACTACCTATCAAATTTTAAATGATGCTTGTACACATTATATTTAATTCCATTTTTCCTGATCTCATGTTGTTATTTTATACTTGCATTGCATTTTACCTGCACTGTGAAAGCATTACAATTCAGTCTTGACTGCCATTCATGTCTTTAATAAACCTTGATTGATTTGATTTGATTTGAGAGGGAGAAATTGACAAATTCAAACTGATTGTAAACTTCTCCAATACCCCAATGTGGGTGACATGAGAATACATTGTCATTGTCATTTGTTGCTCGCTGATAATTGGCATGCATGATGTGTATAATGCACCTAGCATGGAGGCTGCTAGACTCTATTACACTCACAGTAACAAAATGAAACGGGATGCGTTTTTGCGGGTACTTGAGATTTAATAGAGGATGGAATCTTGTTACCCCGAATATCAACATCATGACAATAATAACAACTACGACACAAACTTTCCCAACTGAATATAAAATACTTTTACTTAAACGTTACAATGCTCCAATCCGCCCCAGGGAAGGACCCGGGTATTATTTTCGAATCTTTTGATCAATTTATACAAGTTTCTGCACCTGAAAAAACTGGATGGAGCGCACAATCCAAAGTACTCACTGCATCGGGCCACCAACAGAAGAGAACTTGTATACAACCCCCCACAGCCTGTAAAAAGGCGACACTGTTTCCTCATTAAAGAGGGCGAGCAGAGTTTACCTTCTCATTTGGAATTTAACTGTGAGTACCACAAAGTGGGCTATACGTATAACACCCCTCTGCATACAAAGAAGACACACAGTTCCACTGCATCAAACAGGCGAACAGATGCCTACTTTACAGGCGGGTACATGTTATAAATAAACGACAGGACGAAATGCCTGTTATCATCGGGGCCCCAACCGGAAACCAATAAATATTGAGCTCTACAAGATGCAATGGCCAATTAAAATAATCCAATTCATATTCTCAAAAACACAACCTTCCCATGAGGTATTTTGCAGCAGTGCGTAATACACATAATAACCTTCATATGTATATATTAACATAAATTATACACACATATATATATATATATATGCGAAGAGGCAAAAATGCCAATTTCCGAAAGATATAGGGGAAAAAAGGAACTTGGACGAAGAGTTGTCATAGTTAATTTATGACAACCCCATGATCGGAACCACCAACGACTCCGCACCAGCCCGGGACGGCCCGTCGTCGCTCGCCATGGACAAGTTCGGCCAACATAAAGAAACGTACGCCCTCTTTCGAACTTGCCATCCTAAGTGCAACGAAAAAGCCGATCCGGCGTTAGTGCGGAGACGAAGGAGGTCCCGACCCTTACCCCAGGATTGGGTGAAACCCTGGTAAAACCGCAAAGCGCGAAAAAAAAATCGCAGGAAAGTCCCAACCTGCCAAGCATTGCTTCGACATCAAGATTACTTGACTGAGGTGAAAAAAACAATTATTACTAATCCGTTATATTAATCACTTGACACACTTCCAGACCACTTAATATTTAGTAAAACATACTATCGAATACACTTGAACAACGTAAGGAGGAATGAAGTTCGGGGTGTTGGAGGGTAAATTAATTTGCCACCTAATAAATTCTACGTCCATCCTCTAAAAAATCTGCAAGGTGAATGAGAATTCTCACGCCAACACCGTGGGAACCCAATACATCCCGGCTAAAATAATTCAATATATAGATTCGAAACATACCTTGCGCAAATTCCGTTTATAGATACGCGTACATGAAAGAAACCGCGCGGCTGACTCAAAGGGTGTCGGCATGTTATTGTTTTCTCCCAAGATGCCGCTAAGGGTCAACACAGAAGAGAAGCCGCCGCGAACTCGTGATGTCACTGATGAATGTATATCGCCCTACGTTCGACAAAATTTCTTATATACCTCACTTTAGAAATCCAGCCATTTGATTGGTCGAAATTAGAGTCGTGATTTTAGCCATTCCCGTAAAGAAACGTAAAATGCCAAAACCGGTCAATAGTCTTTTGAAAAAACGCCCCAGGGCACTTTTCAAAAGACTATTGACCGTTTTTGGCATGTTACGTATATGCGTGTAATCTCAATGGGAAGGATTTTAGCACACAAACTCGAGTGTTGCGTGATAAGGCAGCGTAAAAAAAATTGATTACCATAATTGGTGATCGCCACGACTGTATTCGGACCCTTTTTGGTATATAAAAGTTATAATGACTGCTTTTATATTCGACCATAGTTGTCGTTATAGGCTCTCGGGGAGGTTACATCGTGCTATCCTCCCTCGGCACGCCTCAGGGCGAAAGCACGATGTAACCTACCCTTGGGCGTATACAAAACTATGTCTCTCATAGCAATCATTATTTTACTATAATATTAGTCGCTTCCATGGTATTTATCACAAAAATGGCCAGGCTAGCGTGTATACCAAATTTGCCCGTGCCGCCCACCCAGGCGCATCTCAGGGTCATGACAGGAGGTGCGCGCGTTCCCTTGAGCATAAAAAAACAGCCAGGCTTCTTCAAGCAGTCGATATCTCTACATTTATTATATGGATGTATAGTTTTAACCAATCAGAACGCATGAAACTGTACGAATATACAACCATAACGGGCCAAGCAGGCCAATATTTGTATAATTATTCAACTATACGATTATACGTCTATCCAGCCATCCAATCAAAACGCAGGAAATTCTACATCTATACAACTATAATTTATATACAACTATAAATCCATTCGAAGGCTGTATAGTCGTATACAGTCGCACAGTTGTATAGTGTAAACACGTACAGTAGAAAGTACAGGTTCCTGCTGTACTGTACGTGCCGAGCAGGCCAATATTCGTACAATTATCCAACGATGATTATTATAAACTGTATTGCCCGAACTCACAAAGCCAAAGGAGGTTTGTCGACAAACCTTGGTTTTCGTGCGTCATAATGACGCGTTTCGACGCGTTTTTACAAACCAGGTTTGTAAAAAAAAACGTGTAAAAACGCGTGTATGGTGACATAAATTTCGTCGCTTATTTTTCTTCTTATTTCTCGGCTATTTCCCCGGACATTTTTCACCTACCCCTTTCACAGTGGCCGTTTCATCTGATGCGTCCGCACTAGACGCATCCGATGAAATTTTGGGCCCCGTTGCAAAAAAAACTTACCATTGATGGTAACTGTGCCATCAATGGTAACTACCATGGAAACCTTGATTTTGAATGGCTCTTGAGCCCTCTTACCATTTTATTTGCTATTGATGGCAAAGTTCCCATCAGTGGTAAGTTTTATGCAACGGGGCCTTCACTGTGCCCTAAACTTACCGCCATAAGGAATTCTCATTAAAAAAAAGGCTTCCCTAATCCAGGAGATATGGATTGACAAGCTGAAGTATTTTCTGGCGGGACAACGGGTTCACTGTCTGTTTAAGATGTTTAAGCGCAACCAAATCTGGTGTCAGCGAATTATGATGCAATACACCTGGACACTATACTACTGCGTGGTTTTAAAGGTACTATGTCCCATTTGCAGGCCAAACAAATTAAAAGGTAAAGACCAGTTATGGTCATGCGATTGCATTATGAAAGAAACGTTGTGGAATCGATCAGAAAAGGTTGATCATCTAGCATTTAAGTATTGGTGTGTACTGCAAGGTTCTGGAATCATCAAAATGATAAGAAATATGGCCCAGTCTTCGTAAAGTTACAAGCACTGTACACAGAAAGATATATATTGGACTATACGCACACATGGGCGACACGTGCGTTTATCTCTCACATACCATGTAGATAAACTAATTTACCCAATATATCAATTAGTAGGTGGTTTCCCGGCAAATTTGTTATCATCATGTATTAGTCAAAACATATTCCTTCACATGATTGGTAATTACAGCTTCCATTTCATTTTTTGAAATTGGGGCGTTTCCAATACTGGTCTTTACCTTTAAAATAAAAGGACTTGAAAATGTCTGTTGAATCGAATTTTAGCGAGCGCACTCGTTTAATTAAATAGTCTGATTTTCAGACCCTTGTACCCAATGGTCGTACGTTTTGTGCTGCGTAAAGATTCAATCAGTTTAAATTTAATTACAAGAAGTGTGTAATGGATGTAGACAAATGCTCATGTAGGCTACTGTATGTTATCACCACAGAAAGAAAAGTCTGTCAGTCAGTCACTCAACTAGTGCCTGACAGTGAAGTCTAGAAAGTAAACGAGTTTCCGTGCATAGTTTGAATACTAGGACACTGCTAACGTTTAAATATTACCGATATGATATACGTATTATTATGTATATTATATTCATAATTCCTGCAAAGTTCTACATAATTTGATGTTGGCTGAAAAAGGAATACACTACCTGGGATTTAATTTTTGTACCTGTGATGGGATTGGAGCGGTTTCTTCCGAAGCTTCAGGGATGAAGCGGAAAAGTTCGTAGATTTGGTCACAGCAAGGGAAAGATCCTGATTGGCCGGTACACGAGGAATTTGGCCCGGGTATGTTTTCCGCGACTTCCAAAATGATTGGTGTTGACTCATTTATGTTGTTGTCTAGCAAAACAATTCGACATGAAAGAAATGTTGATAAAATACAAGCCAAATACAATATTTATCTTTACAAGTGCCATATTATACATCCCTCCTATATTAGCTTGAAACAATTCATCAAGAATACAAAAAGAAACGGAATATTACATTGCCAAAAAAGAATGTAAATTGCCGTTTCATTTTAGGAAGCGGAAGTTTAAAATCTAATCTGCCATCTTCACTTTTCTCCCATGTCGAATGACTGATTTAAAATGATATCTATGCTTATATTTTAAAGGAGGAGAGGGAGTCATTTATTCTTGTTTGTTTTATTTAAAAAAGATAAAGTAGGCATAGTAAGATATCTGTAGAAGTCCTCATTCCATTTTCTTCCCTCGGCTTGTCCCCCTCCCCGCCCCTCCTCCCTTCCATATCTTTTCTCTTACTTTCTCTTTAAAAAGGCTTTTATATTCAAATAGATAAGGAAACAGGCTACTGGATTGCTATTTTCTATTTTTGGATAATGCTTACTATATATTATTCTTAATAATTAGAGGTATATTGTAAACAAAATATACGAATACATAAATTATGGCGATATTCTTCCAAAGCTAACGTAAAGAAAAGCAAGACGTTGGAAATCAAACGAGAATAAAAAAAATATACTAAATGTATAATTCGAATAGATGAAAATCATCAAGAAGTAATCATCAAAAAATGATGTAGAAGATAATTTTGATTTTATCAATTTCTTGCCTGGTTATGATTATTAATTACTTGTTAAATCCGATAAGGGTACGTCCTTTTTAGGAGTAGAATGCATTATGCTAGTGCACATAAACCTAATATTTGTTTGTTTTTGTTTTACGGCAGCTAACCAATGTTGTCCATTAATTATCAAATACCCGTTTAAACTTATTGTTTTAATCAAAGGTTTAGTATTGTAATGAACGATAATATCTTAAAATGGCTTTGAAATAATTGATCAACGATAAGCTAGACTTACGTTTGATAGAAAGCGTGTAGTATTTGGCGTATAAGATGATAAAATTAGATCGAATTCATTCACTTCCATGAAATCCAAACAAAAAGCTGACCGTATTTAAAGTAATTTTATCATCTAAAATCAAATGTTGGATAAACCTTCTTCTAAATTTGGCAATCTCAGTATAAGTGTTCTATGCTTTCTTCGGAATTATAACAAAATGTACAAAAGTCTGATTCTCAAAGCTTACCTTCAAGGTAGGCATCGAGGTCACCTACGACTAAACCTATTGCTTCAGTTCGGTCGCAGGTTGGAGCGACCTTATGCACCCATGCACTTTGTTCTATCCGTCTCTTCCACATATCTGAACCAATTTCTTCTAATGTAGTATAGACGGGGCACTCGTAGACTGCAGATAGATAATTAAATAAATTGATAGATAGGTAAATAGATGAAAAAACAAAAAAACAAACATGGATCAATAAATCAATAAATGCACAACTAGATAAATAAATGAATACATAAAAAATACTTTCATACATAGTCTACTAAATGCACAAATACATAATTATATACAAATAAATTAATATATCTATTGAAAGACTCACTTGCACATTTGGGAATTCCATTAGGAGGCTGTGGGGTCGTGGTCGGGGTCGTGGCCGGGACTGCGGCAATCGACATCGCGATGAAAGTGAGGAGACAAACTGCCAACATGATTAACGATTCTGTGTGAAGAAAACAAATATTGAAAAATCTTCTCAAACACGATGGCAAAGATTTTCAAAACAAATATTTTTAAAGGTAAAGACCAGTATTGGTAACGCCCCAATTTCAAAAAATGAAATGGAAGCTCTCATTACCAATCATGTGAAAGAATATGTTTAGACTAATACATGATGATAACAAATTTGCCGGGAAACCGCCTACTAATTCATATATCTGCTAAATTTATCTCTCTCATGGTCGTGTGAGAGAGATAGGGTAGTCCCATATACATCTTTCTGTGTATAGTGCTTGTAACTTTACGAAGAATGGGCCAAATTTCTTATCATTTTGATGATTCCAGAACCTTGCAGATGCTAGATGCTAGATGATCAACCTTTTCTGATCGATTCCACAACGTTTCTTTCACAATGCAATCGCATGACCATTACTGGTCTTTACCTTTAAGTAGATAAAGCAACTTTAATAACTAAACAAACGTGCTAAGGGTGGAAATTGAATTAATTCTTAATTTTTAAGCAAATAAGGTGGACGGTGCTCCGCATGTTAGTTGATGCCAAGAAAACAAAACTAACGGGTGTTAAAAAAAGCTACAAAAATCGGATCGCAGCTTTGCGGCTCGTAAACGATGCTCTGCATCGTAATTGGGTCACCCCCCCCCCCCCTGGGAAAAAGCTAGATCCGCCCCTGCTTTTTTGTAATATTCATATGGAAACGTTTGCTTGTATTTGTCTCATAAAAGAATTTGATCACGAACTGACTCCCACACGATGTTGAGTGCTCAGTGGTCATAGGCCACTGGCTTCATCGGGCAGGTAGTTCCATTATGTGAACGGGTAAATTAACTATTACAAAAAGAGGGGACACATTACATTGTACAATAGGGACACACATTGTTTTTATTGTGCAAAACATACTCTTTTATTGACTTACTTATTGCATGGAACTATAAAACCAAAATGCATTTTGTATTCTAACAATTGGAGTACAAAGAATAATAACAGGTGAATGAAATGCATAAACAGCACAAACACCTGGGGAGGAAGCATTCATAAATTTAAATACATATAGTTGATAAACGACTCCGATGAAACTATAAAACCAAAATGAAATTTGCGTTCTGGCAATTGGAGTACAAAGCATGATAGTAGGTGAATGAAATGCTTCAACAGCAACACAAACACCTGGGAAGCTAGGAAGTATCCCTAAGTTTGAATAATTTAGTTGATAAACGACTCCGCATGTGGACGTTTGTTGGAGCAGAAAGCAGTGGATTCTTAACAACACGAACCCATTTAACAGAATGTCGGAACGTTAATTAAATTTGGCGCGGTTGAAAAATGCATCTTTCTACCCTGCGACTTTAATGGTACGATCCAGTAAATTAAAACAGTAAAATGGGTCTTATTTTAAAATTACTCATTAAACAAAACCAAAAACTTCAGTGATAACAGAAAAAATATGTTATATCTTTAATACTAATAATTAAAAAAAGATGTATTAACATTGTGAAAGTGTCGCATTTTACGATAAAAGATACCGATTTAGCGAAGATGACGTCATTAGTGCGCTTGCATCAGGGAATTCAAGGTCAAAATGTCACTTCAGACGCTGATAAGTTATTGGTCGAGCCTTTTTGTTTCCTTTATTCCGACAAAATTATACAATCAATCAAAATAAGTTTGATACCAGAAGAAAGCTAACGATTAGTATTTTCATTAACCGCAGTGAAACGAGTGAGAGCTTGCGAGAGCGGCCAAAGTGTGATTGAAACTCGCTATTTGCTCTTCTCCAACGCAAAAAGAAACGACATTGTGCTGGATAAATGTATTTTTCCGACAAAAGTACAGAAAATTTGCATATGGTCTTTTTATATTATACTTTATGAAATGTTACCCGAGTGACTTCCGGGCGCCCCAATGATGGAAAGAAACGCACATTTTTAGAAAACTTCACTTTTTCATGGAAAAATGCTTATTTGTTCTATGCACGCAAGTCAGATTGAGCGGATGATACAACGTTTCCATATGGTATGCAAGAAATTGCCACTCCCGGTGGTAACATTTCACACTGACTATATGCGTACGCATGATTATTATAACTTACGCGTAATTAATAAATGTAATTTTTAGAGCGGTTTGCAAACACTAAAAAGCCTACATGTACTTGTATTATTTTATTTTATTTTATTGAAATATATTTATTCAGGATAACAAGAATGAGATATACATTGTCGATACAAAATCTGTTTACATCATGGTCCTGAACACGATAAAAATGAAGTACACGGAAGTAATGACTATCTCCAAAGCTCACAAGCAAAGGTAAGAACAGTATAAAACTAACATATAAGCATAATACGCATTAAAAGTTGTAAAAAGCACAAAACAAAACAAAACAAAAACGACAATGTAATAATTGAAATTAACAGCGGAAAAAACATCAAATCACTTTAATAAAAGGCATTAAAATATCACCCCCCAAAAAAGAAGAGGAGAAAAGATATAAGTAAACTGGTAAAAAGTAAAGGAGGAAAAAGGGAAAGAAAGAAAGAGGGGAGAGGGAAATGGAGAGAGAGAGAGAGAGAGAGAGAAATAAGCCATCATGATGTCAAAGCAGTAATGAATCGGCATTGTATCACACAGGTTTAAAAAATTGTCCTTGTACATACGTTTAAAAACATCGATAGATTTAGCATTTTGAAAAGCAGAAGGTAAACTAGTCCTGTCATTTTACCACCAGCGTATCTAAAACAATTCTTAAAACATTCAAGATTAGGCTTGGGTAAAACAACATCCAGCGTATTGCCAAGTCTAGTGTTAAAACCATGTCTGTCAAAAACCATTTCCACTTCATTGCATAATCGTACTGGGGCTTTTACATGAATACAGTTGTTGTTGTTTGGTATTATCGGCGTTTCATTCTTTATTCTGTACATTATACATGATAAAAAATAGTCCCGTCATTTTGGATTGCCATTTTAATGAATTCATTATATTCAAGCTATGTACATCATAATCAAAGTTCCCTACGACAATACGTGCGGCTCTTTTTTTGTAGTCTTAAAATAAATTTCTGTTTTGTAAAGAACAGTTTCCCCATACGGAACAAGAATAATCTAAGATTGGCTGTATGGTACATTTGTATATTTTATTCAAAATGGAAGAGCTTAAAAATTTACTGAGCTTTCTCAAAGTAAAAATCTTATAACTTAATGATTTGGTAAGAGATTTAATGCGGATATCCCAAAATAATCTATTATCAATTTCAATCCCTAAATATCTGATACTTCTTACTTGTTTTATTGTTTCAGTATCAATATGCACCTTCAGACTTAATTCATCGTTACCTCGTGTGTTACTACTCAACAGCAACACACTACTCTTATTAGTATTAATACGTAATCCATTTTTACAATATCGTTCATTTATAGCATATAAATCTGCTTGGAGCTTAGATGATATAAATATCCATACCAGAAACATATATTTGTAAAGCGCTTAGAGACATTTGTATTAAGCGCTATATAAAAATTAAATATTATTATTATTTTTATTTTTATATACGACAACATCATCAGCGTATATATTACATGTACTTAACCGTAAGCAATCAGTTATATCATTTATAAAAACTAGAAAGAGGGAGGGGCCTAAAATACTCCCCTGAGGAATTCCTATAGTAATGTCCTTTGTTTCGGACAGTTTACCATGACAGTAAACTGCTTGTTTCCGACCAGATAAAAAAACTAGAAAACCATTTCAGTTCAGTATTTAAAATACTTTACTTATTCAATTTGGACAACAAAAGTTCATGGTCAATACGATCCAATTTTTTTGAAATATCAAGGTAAAAATCCACAATTTAAACCTTCATTAAAAGGACAGTTAAGAGAAACATTAATATAAGGAGCTGAAATTTGAAGTAATTTTCTATCAAATTCTAAGATATCAAGGCTACTCTCTTTCGACAATAGAGAGAGATTATGTTTAGTTTTCCCGGGACTGATTGATTTCAAGACGAAGTATGTATACTTTCAGGATCGTTCCATGATAGATCATGATTACTGAGAGCTTCTGAATTTTTTTTACCAATATTTACAAAATAATCGTTCAATTTATCACTGTGTAAATCAGATGGTAAAACATAATCCGCATGGCACTTCTTTCAAAGAAATGAAACAGTTTCGCGTCACCCCAATCCTAAATAATTTACAGAAGATTCAGTTAGGATCACTCTAACACGCGTCAAGTACCATCTACACTATGGCAAATTTTTTCTTCTAAATTTTGCGACCGACCGGAGCAAGCGAGCAAAAAATTATGATACTTTTGTTATGATAACAAAATTTACCTTATGATTAACACACATGATAAAATATAGAATTAAGAGCGCGAGAATCTCGCTGCAGAAAACATGAATGCCAAAATCATTTGATGCGGTCGATTCGATGCACGAACATGAAGAGATTCGGGTTTCTCATTGGTCAGAATAATTATCATCTTTCTAAATGTTGCGAGCGAGTGAAGCAAATGAGCGTGGTCAAAATGTAATTTGATATAAAGGATGTAATATATATTCAGGCAACTCTCTATTAAATAAAAGTCTATTTAATGGGCACTTCATTGCTCAACGATGAAGGTATTCAGGCACTTCGCCTGCCAGAAATTATCCTGTTTTTAAAAGTTGTGAGCAGCGAAGCGAGCGAGGAACAAAGACACTCTATCACCTTCGAAATGCTATTTCCTCATCAAATTACATACTCTAACGGTTTGTAATAATTTGGTTTTCATATAATCGACATTATTCCCAAATAATGATTTTTAAAAAGTATTACTCAAATTCTCTCGCGGCACCCCGGTTGAAAATTAGGTGCCTTCTTAGATAGCACAAAATCTAATAAAATCTTATTCAATGCGCTCAATGTTCACGAACTCGAAAACGGGTATTTCTTTGTAAAGATCAATTAATTTGAGGAAAAGCGACATATTCTCAGTATCGATGTTCGCAGACTTTGCAGATCGACATGTGAATGTGTATATATATATATATATTTGTTTTGTTGTGTGTGTATGTTGCGAATGAAACATGGCACTACTTTTAAATGTGTACTCAATTAGCAAAAAAAGGGTTAGACCTATAATTTATATAGTTCCCATTTTGTACTTGTAAAGTTAAAAAAGGGGTCACGTACGTATTGAGGTAAATATTCTTGAACGTATGCAAAATTAAAGGGTCATTAAAGGGACTTTGTAACATTGTACAGATCAGAGATAGCAGTGCTAAGGTAGTGACTTTAATGCTAGATGTACAATTGAAGATAATCTGAAAATCTGAGTGAAAACGGATCATTATTCATGGTACAAATTAGGAAAAACTGATCTGATCGATTCCTTAATTCTCCCAACTATATTATTCTACTTCTATTCTGCTACTTGTCAAAGCCCGTTCAGCATCAATACAAGGACAATTTAATTACATTTTAGGTGAATGTAAATCGTCACAAAGCAATAAAATGGCTCTACATTCCATTCCAAACAGTTAAGAGTTGACATATTTTTATAGCCTGTTTTATGTATTTTTCTCATGGAAAAACGGTTGGGAAAATTCAAAAATGGTTGGGAGAATTTACTGTTAATCACTGTAAGAGGGTGCCTCACATCGACGCCTTAAAAAAAACCCATAAATATCTTTGTGGTTTAAGAATTTGTTCAGGATTTGTTGCATGTCAAAGGGTTAGTAAAGTAGAAGGAATATAGTAAGTAACATTTTATACAACAAATTTAAGCAATTTTTTTCATCAACCTTCAACAATGTTACCGAGTCATTTTAAGTTATTGACTCCGCGCTAACCAGCGTGATCGAAAACTTTAGAACAGTTGTTAAAAGTGAATTGGCATCACTGCGTCCACTAAACGTAACTTACCAATGGTTTACTGTATTTGTAGAGAGTCTTTAGAGTCTTGCAAACGGCCACCCTTTGTGCTGCTCAGTGTATGACGTTCTGGTTTGCCCGTATCAACAGCTTTGACTCCAAGCTGAGGATACTGGTGGTTTTATGGCTTTCCAATAGTAGCGTATGAAAAGGCCAGGCCGGGCGGCGATTTTTTTTTCCCAAACAGTTTTACCTATGAGCGTAAAATCCTACCTGATTGGTTCAGAGGTATACGCATCATGAGTATTCATGACTGAGCTGCAAAGATACTAGTAGTATTACGCATGCGCGTGACACAAGTCGAATTAGCTGCTTATATCATGCAGCTATATGCTAGCTAGCTGTGTACGTACGTACTCTGCATGCATGCGCAGTGATTGCTTCAAAGATGTAACTTTTACATGAGCAATTATGGCGGCGTCTGAATCTTAGAATAAATAGTGAGAGTTCAGGTTTTATTTAAAATTGGGATATTTTAATGCTTAAATTCATGAAAGTAGGTCAAAGGTTATGAACCTGCTGATTGTATTTATTGTTGAAAGCTCAAATTAATGCAAAGAAATATAAGTCCTTTAAATATTGTTTCGTTTCTGATTTAAGTTGGATGATCTTGAGAAAAGGAGTTTGAAGATATATAAAAGATTGCAAAAGGACTTAGTCAGATAAATCAGTATAATGTGCACTAGGTATGCATATTTATAATAAAAGCTTGTCTTTGACACGACTTATGTAGAGCCTGTATGTATTACTTTATTTTCTTTGTTTTTTCTGGCCAGGTTCTTCTGTCACAAAGGAACCAGAACCACTGATATGTCAGGATATCACGTCCAGAGCAACACAGTAGCTTTGACCCACACCTTAGGCGCCTTGGATTAATTCTCATGTGCGAGAAGCTGTGTGTTTTTAACCTGAGAGCGCATGCATGAAAGCCGTATTGAGTTAATCCCGGATGCACGATTTGCCCACGAGAAGACGCATTGTGTGTGTCCGAACACCGTGACGTCCTTTTCAAGCCAGAAAATTTTCAACCCATTGAAAGATTCGTCATACTTGTTTAGCTCCCTCTGCGGCTAAACTAAGTTATTTAGCTTAGCTTGAGTTCGTGTCTAATTAACACTGTACTCAGTATGTTTGGAATGGATCATTATGCACAATAAAAATACCGTTTAAAAGGGTTGTTTACAAGTAATAAGGCCTGTTTAAAAAATTCAACAAGCTGTTGTATTGTAATGAACTGTTAGCATTTTAAACAATTACGTTTTTATCTGTGTATATATAACCGAATTAATTTTTAAAAAGGAGATTTTTTTCGGGGAGGTAACTTGGAGGTGTCAATCTAGACACACGGGTTATGGGCGCCCCATTCAAATTTAATTCTCCAGCAATTAATGGAAATAAAGACTAGTGGGGTTTTTTCTATCTCGCCGTTAAAAACAATTACGTGCTGGCCATAAAGCCAATGTGTTGATTCATGAATTCTTGTTTGGAGACTATGCTATTCCATTGTCATTTAACTTATAGAGGCAAAACACATTTTACGGAAGGTTTTAAATATTATTTTTTTCTTTGAACTTGGTATAAAGCCCTCTCCAAAGAAAACATTTTCTCTTGCTCTTGTTCATCTCTTTTCCTCTCTCTCTTCTCTTTCTCTCTCTTTTCTCCCCACTCTCTCTTTTGTTTCTTCACTGGCCACCCATTATGGGTGCAGTCTGCCTCTATATCAGCATTCTGCACCGTGCCCCCCCCCCCCGTACGCTAGTGTTTCTCCGGCTTATTATTATCATTATTATAATCATCATCATCATATTATTATTATCATTATTTAGATGGGGAGGGTGATGAATAATGAAAGGAAAGCAATGAATTATAAAAATTCGTTTATAATCGTTTGAAAATTTGGGTTGATTTTACTCTTCCATTCAATAAATCTCATTAAAATGTGAAAACTGCACTCATTATACATTTTTTGTTTTCCTCCCTCCCCCAAGTATACGAATGTGTCTCCGGCTTTTCTTTGTTTGTTGTTAGGTGGGGGTAATGGAAGGAAGGTAACAAATCATTGATTTACATTCGTTTAGAAATTAGCGTTAATTTTGCTCACATCACAAAAAAAAATCTTTTTAGGATAAATCAATACTCTTGCACAAGATTCAAGATACTTTATTTCTCCAATCGTGCAACATATAAACTAACATTACCAATTGCTCCTGTTTCATATTATTCATTATAATCGTTTTTTTTTTCATAAGCATGTCCATTTTTCTTTCATAATGAAATTCTGATACTGCTGGTAATTCATTGGGAGCAGCGTAATCCGCGCTCGCCCTGAAGAAATCTCATGACGGCAAGCACCCTAGTACCTTATAATCCGCCCTTCCTTTGTTCGAGTTTATAACCATGACAACGAACTCTACCTTTGCCCAAGTTCATTGTTTCTCTTACGTAACATAGATGTAAATAGGCCTCAGACATAACTCTTTTCGTATAATCATTCTATATACCGGTAGTTCTAAAATCTTTCAAATATTTTGTGTCGTTTTTGTTTGTATATACTTTGTTAATTTACTTACAAACTATTATTGTCAAAATTTGCCAATACTACCAAACTATTACGTTTTCCCCATCATCTTCCGCTCTAGAATCTTCTTATTTATTCATTTTTATTTGTTGGGTCCTTTTCACATTTTTCTTGTCTCTCTCTCTTCAAGATTTATTCTGTTTTTGTAAGGGTATTTATGCTGTTAATGTTTGTATAAATAAAAGAGAAATCCTTATTCTTTCTCTTATAATGTTGTCCACCTTCTTCTATAGATAACCCTTTTGTGATTTGGTATAATGTCCGATGTATATTACATCTGTCAATAAGCTTTTGGAGCTTTGTTGGAGTACTTGTATGAAAGACAGCGTTATGAACTATATAATGCACATGATATGTATGACTTGATATTGATCGCGATCACTTTGCCATTCAGTCAAGTAATGAATAATAATTAATATTATAGAAATTCAAGTATTTATTATGTGTTTCTATTCAAGCTTGTATTATAGAAAACAATATAATATAAAGAAAGTACAAATTCAATTCATTATGTCTGTACGATGGACATAGTACAATCATAATCTAGTTCAAGCAAAGCGTGACCAAAGAAAATCATTTTAATAATATATCTTATAAATATATATATTTGTGTAGATTATTCATGTTTATTTATACAAGCATATAATGTAAGTATAAATACTTGAATTTGAATTCAAAACAAATTGTTCATAGTATTCGGCAATAATGGTCATAAACTGACTTGCTAAACAACAACAACAAAAACCCATTCACCGGCCTGTTTGTGTGTGAAGATGGAGCTGGGGGGTTATTCCAATGAAAGAAAACAATAGCCGGATTATCTGAACTACGGTCTGCCCATTTTCATTCGCTTTGTTATGATCTGCAGTGAAAAAGCAGGAAGTCTATTCATGTTATTGATTTTCGAACCAATCAGTTGCAATGTTTTGTTTGCATCCACTAAATACTAGCTTCTGGTGTTTATATTTCATCAAGAGATTAAGAAATATAACGTAAACATTCAGAAGAAGCTAAATGAACGGAGATAAGAATATAACAGTACAATAATAATTATCAGAAGTAAACTTTTAAATATAAATCTCTGTTGCATCAAACTGATATGACAACAAATGTTTATTATGCTATATTGAAGGTGTTAATATACGTCGGACGTTATACTTAGGCGAAAATACATAAACAAACAGAAAAGAAAGACAAAAAAAAAGAGCCCAGGGGAGGGGGGTGGGGATTAGAGAGACAAATATGATAATGATGAATACAGTACAGACTTCGTCCAACTTTTTGTCTCTCCAACCCCTCTCACTCATATTGTTTATTTCTGAACTCTAAATATGAAAGCCATCTTCCTTCGCTTGCTTTTATGTCAACCTCAACTGGCAATATGATTTTGTGTGTCTTGTTTCCCTGTTTAATACTTTTTTCCCATCTAGTTACCATTCTTTCGCTCAAAATCTATCACAATCACTAACATAATGGCGCATAAAATGTTAACGCAACGTATTACCATAGCATGAAAGGCGAGTTTGATAGAGAGGGGAGAGGGGAAGGGGGGACGGGGACTGGGGAGGGTGTCTAATCAATAAAGTACTGTTTAATGCGCGGAGTTCGGCAAAGGCAACGTTGAATGTCCGAGATAAAATCATTAGGAGCCAGAGCAAATAACACTGAGTTCCCATAGGAAATATATTTATTCAGATGGTCATATCTCAGCCAATACTGTTATAAATATTAGGACATTATTTTTTATGCTCTTTCGGAAAATTAAGAAAAATTGAGAAATTCAAAACATAGATTAATGATGACGTCACACTTCACCACTTATTTTAAATTTGTTTATTACCTGTGTAACTGTGTTAGATTCTTTTCATTTCATATACCTGGGGACAAACCTTTGATTTTTCCTTCCTCTCGATCACTCCTATTGTTTCATTTCATATTGTTTATTTCTGAACTCTAAATATAATATCCATCTTTCTTCGTTGATAAAATGTTACGTTAAAACGATTGTCTAGACTGAGTCGTTGGTAAGATTTTTTTTAGGCATGATTGTGCAATCAAAGAAAATAATAATAAGCTGGTAGAATTGTTGTGTATACTTTAATTTTGTATGTAATGTTTCACTCGTTTCACTCATGACAATCATTGAGTAATTAATGTAAATATGTATTGAAAAAAAACCTTGCTTGAGGATAAAAGAAAAAATGAAGTCTGCTGCTGTTGTTGTTGTTACTTATTTTTTTACGGCGCTTTCATTTAAAAAGCTCATATTTTGCGCCATTCATTTATAGATATTAAACAATCTTTTCATGATTAGTCAAGCGTATTGCCCATAAGTTTATAAATGTTCCAGAAGTCAAATATTGTTTAAGATAACCCAACACAGATTAATGAAGTTTGGAAACGAAAACGAGACAAATGAAGCTACAACAAAGCGAAACATATCAAAGGAAGAAAAAGCATTAATGTATGACTTGTATAAATGTGTGATAAATAATTTGTATTAATAAGTTATCCCTTTCAGGAAGGGAATCTGAATTCTGACCCTAAAAAGCAGGGGCCGCGGAGCGTTTTTGAGAGTAGGGTGGGGGGGGGGGGGAGGTCTGAACATGAAACGTGTCTACTAAAAAAAAAAAGACCCAGCCACTCGCTTCCGCGGCCCCTGCATAGTGTGTGTGTGTGTGTGTATTGGGTTTTTACAGACGTGTATCAATCA